CCACTGAGCTTTGCGCCCACCGTCGCCGCCGGATTGGAGGCCTCTCTTCAGAAACTACTCACCCTCTCGCGTTCCCTCTTCCTCACCACCAAGAATGCTGGCCAAATGGTGGCTACCCAAATGGTGAGACCGTACTTCTGAACAACCTTAGGCAATTTTTTTTACTTAAAAGGAATATGAGAACTACTACCTATTTTTTTTTTAAGGAAAACGCAGTTTTCTTAATAATTGTCAAGTTCCGTAGACGTAAAAATAGCTATAAATGAGAACAGTAAATTTAAATCTTTCCTTAACTTTAACGAATTACTACACCAATTTTTTTATATGAAAAGAACTTTTCGTTAGTCAAAATATTTTAAACAAATTGTTGTTATTTAATTACAATTACTTACAGATGAACCTTTAAATGCCGATAAATTTGCCAGCGTTTTCAGTGTCTTCAAGCTTTCGTGCCTACATCCAGATTCCGTTCGAATTTTATATCAAAACCCTTAAAATAAGATATCGATTAAGTGGATTTACCGAAAAAACGAGTTTTTGGATATTAGTTCGTATGAAGATGGCCATGCGAGCCATATTTAGAAATTCCTCCTAATGGCGACACCCATTGTCGAGCAAAGAGGATGTTCGCAACAAAAGTCTGATATTGTAATTCCTAAGATTTATAAAAAAAACTTTCTATAACAGGCAGCCTCTTTAAAAATTCCTTTCATTAGATATTCAGCTGACGAATTTCTGCGCATATTATCTTTTTCCAAGGTAATGTCAAAATGAAAATAAAGATTTTTGACAAGTTTTTAAATTCTATTTCATCCTACATGAACTGTGCGATTTTGGAAAAGTAAGGGTCTCCATATGACTAGAATCCTATTTATCCACCGCAATTTGTGACTCCCTTTCAGTTCTAACGATATACATTTTTGCCTCCAGGCATAATTTACAATCCTTTTGATTTCTTAATCTTTGCCAAGATGCAGACCCCGATTTACTCTAAAATGTTGCTATATTGAACCCAAATTTCAACTCACAACTCCTCTTTCGGACCCCTAGCCTGCGGTCTGACACCTTATTACAGATTCTTTTTCTATTTTCCTTAAAACCTCAAATCTATCGGTTTTTGTAGAACGACGATGCTATTCTAGAGGTCACCGAAGTTCTTAAGGAGTGTCTGATTCCAGCCGTAAAACAGACCCTACAAGAAGCCGAAATGCCCACGGGCAGCCTCTCAGCTCCCGAGGTTACTCTGGCGTCTCTAATGGAAGGCCTGACGTCCGTCGTTATCGCTACCGCCACCGCGATGGAACACGGTGAATACGACTTTGACGGCACCAAAAAGATCAAGGTAGGCTTTCAAATAAAGGTTGGTTTTATCTGCTGTCATACAGCTGCCTCACCTTTCACAGTTTTTCACTCACTAGATATTAATATAAACGTTTTACAGACAGTAGGTTGATGGACGTGCAGTTCCCTTTTGTGCTTCCTTGTTTACCACCCGGATATAAAGCTTACGTTTGGTGTTAGAAAGCATAACGAAA